ATTTGAGCCATCATTCTACCGGAGTATCATTACGACATTGTTATTATTATTATTTTTTTTTTGTTATTTCATATTTTTATCACATAAATTACTTCTAGTCTTGGAATCTTTATTTCTAAATACCATGTATCACGTTGTATGCTGTTTCATCCACTATATTTATAGGCTTAGACCATTATTTATGAGTTAAATCAAGTTTAATCTTGTTTAACAGCTGCGTACCAGACTCTGTAAATAAACACCCAGACAAATGCATTTCAAAATGATGAATTTTTAATTAGTTTATTAATGATAGCTTTTCCTTCTTTCGTTTAATATAGTATAAAAATTTAGTAACCAGTCATGTTTTTCTCTTTCGTGTATTTTCAAATTGGGAAAACTGTAAATCTTTAATAAATTCTTGTTCTTTTATCAAAGCTTCTTTCTGCGTCATGGTTTTAGCTTTCAAATAATTTAACAGAGATTTATAAAACTTATAAGTATGCTTTTATTTCTGTTTTCTTTCTGAAACTTTTAATAATTTATCTAGAATTTCAGTAATTCCTGCTACAATATTTAATGGAGCAAGCGAGAAAAATACGAAAGCGGATAAGGAACTTGCACTAAACAAATTTTAGGGACTGATAACAATAAACTAATATCATTGTAAAGTTCATAACTCCTACAGATAAACTTATGACCAATCTTCTAATTTCTTGTCTATTTATACACGATAAAGTTTTTTTTTTTTTTTTTTTGTGTCTTATTGTAGGATTTTTAAAATCAAATATGATGAAATCATGGGATTCTTTAATGCACCTATTGTACGTTTCACTTGCCAATTTCTTGTCAGTTTCTCTCATTATCTGTTGTATTTCTTTCGGTTGTAAATTAAAAAATGTGAAATAATTACAGTTGATCCTTATTTCTCTAAGAACATTATAATAGGCTTGAGCTACATAAATGATGAATGCGTTTGTGTCTGTCACAAAAGCATGGTACATTTAATGCTTGTCTGATCTTCAGCAAGGCAGTTATCATATGCAATTATAGTCTTCTTATTAGGATCTAAATCTGGTAATTGAGCAAATTCTTCTTAATCATCTGTTTCGGAGACTCGTTTGTTATATTTATAATATTTTAGTAAAAACTCTTTTTGTAACTTTTTAACAGTTACGAAATTTATATTTTCTCTTTGAAGACTTGCAAATCATTTTTCAGTTGAATTTGGATAATTATCTTCAAAACTATTTTCCGAATAAATTCATAAAAGTATTTGTTTTTCCTGATACAGTTTTCCCTGCAATGATAAGTCTGAAGGGGCAGAAGGGCATGAGAGGGTTTTAGATCTTTTATATTTTCTTCTTTATCATAAATTTTAAATTTTATCGTTTATACAGTAACAAATTTTGCATGATAAAATTATGTTTTTCTTGATGAAAATTTTATATTGTTGTAAATGAACGATACTAAAAATGAAAAAAGAAAGAAAAGCATATAAAAGGATAATTTAGACTCATAATCTAATAATCAATACAAAGAAATTCATTAAGCTAGAAATATGTTTCATTTCTACTTTATGTAAACAATATTACGAGTTGGCTAGGTGTCAATACTAACATATGCTAGTGGTTTTTAGAGCACGAATGCTGTTAGATTATGCGATTTAGATCTCAGTTAAAAAAATTCTATTGACCCTATAATCTGCATAAAAATGTTCGTCACGTAATCTCTTAATATCAGTAATATTTTTCTAAACAAAAGTTTAGTTTACATGACTCTTTGCATCATTTGAAACATTTTTATAACCAGAAGCATATGCCTACAAACAATGGTTACGAAAATACAGGCCGGGTAAGGACTTTCGTGGACATGGTGTATATTACTCATTCTTTATGCATATGAGTTAGCAGGTCATATACTCAGGTCTTCAGCACTTTATTTCTAAAAAAAGCGTATCAGAAAATAGTTGAGATGATTAAAATATAATGAGGTCTCATAAACAAAAACAAAAATGATCGCAAGTCCCCAAACCTTTTTGGAGTCTAAATAAAGAAAATTAAATTTTGGACATATTTTCTACCTTGAAATACATTACTCCTTGCTAATTAAAATCACTCCCGTCACAATCGTATTTTCTATTAAGCAGCTGATTATAATAGTGATTATGATAGTGGATTGCAAATCGTGATTTCAGTTTAAACATTTTAAGTATAATAATAACTAATAATCAACTCTATAATGAATGCAATAATTAAAAATTACGGCTAAAATTAATTTACGCAATTTTGAAATTCATTTCTTTAATTTTTATAAAAACATTATTATAATTACGTTCTTGATGACATCTCTTTTTTAAAATTATTTACAGTTAACTGCGAAATCTTTGATAGGTACAAGTAAGGATGCTCTCGCACTGAATAATCATTTTTTTTTTCCAATCTAAGTTTAATAAGCAACAGTATAATAAGTGGCAGTTTCTCTATTGATTAGTATTGTTGCGTTCTACGCGTTCATGGAGTGCTTGATGACAATACTTAATGAAGAATCAAAACACAGTTTATTTGTCAGTATTACACAGGACAGTTCCAAAGACGCGTTACAGTCGTCGAAAAATATGACAAGTACGCTGAAACAATCAGAAATCACAACCTTCAGACTATCAGGCTACAAAGGTAAAAACAGCTTCACAGCCAAAGCGTCAGAGTACAGCTGCCGACTTGGTCGATCGCTCTCAAGCTTATTTCTGAACTCAGATCACTACTACTGAACTCCAGATGTTCTACTACACTTCACGATGCACTAGCGCCAATTTGGTCACCAGATGGCGAGTTTTGCGCCAAAATCTGACAACCCTGCATTTCCTTGCCATTTTCTGGCAATCCTAATCACGCTTTGTTGGGAAGTTATATTACCGCAGCCTGGGCATTTCGTAACAGTATATATCTGGTTTGGTTTCTGAAATTTGAAGGGAATAAATGGTTGAGTTTATTAACCAGTGAGTTTAATAAGCGGTAAGTACTGTTTTTGTAATATAAATTTTTAGTATTTTAAGGCAGAAATTTTTTTTGATAATGAAAGCAAGCTTCTTCACTTTGTTTGAAGTTTGCTTCTAACATTATGTTTAAGAAACTTCGCTACAAAGCTTAACCCAGTTACGGTCAATATCTGTAGCCCTCAACTAAGTTGACAAAATTTGTAATTATTGACCACGAATCCGAATTTACGTGCATCTTTATATTTCTAAGTATCTTAGTATTATTTTTAGGCAAGGATTATTTTAAATTAACACCTCCTGTGTCTTGAAAGATAGGTATTTATTCGAAGACATATCTTAACTATTTTCCAAATATAAATGCTGGGACCACAGCTTCAAGACACTTAAACTGGCCCTGGAGTGAAATATCATCCGCTAAATTTATGTACTATTAGTTGAGTTAAAAGAAGCAATTATTGTTTTAAGCCATTCTCACTCCCCCTCCCTAAGAATTCGGAGAAGATTAGCAATAAAAAATTAAAATATAAATAAAATGAAAGTTTTAATTGCTATAGGAGGTAAAGAATTTGCTGTGTATTTATATATATTTTGTCATATAAAAATTTAATTTAATTTATTTGGTTTTGTTTTTAGGAAGAAATTTTGACGAAAATGAAGTTTCCCGCGGTTACTCTCTGTTCTCTAAATCCTATTTTGAATCAAAATATCCAAGAAACTTCCGTTTATAAACTATCAAAGATGAAACAAATGTTGCAGAAAGCTAAAGCATTACGGTAAGCGGCATTTTTATGAATTCTCTATATTTATTAACTACATAGTTGAAAACGGTTTTAAACAGTCTGTAAGGATTATGTTAATTTTATTAACAGTTAAATTTTAAGTTAAAGTTCCTTTCCTGTCAAATTCTTAACTTCAACTTACTACTTCCGGCCAGAACGTAGTTTTGGAATCTTGCTGAATGTTTAATGAGGAGCAGCGGTATTTAAACCACGAAGTTACTTACTGAGTCAGAGAAAATCAGAGTTTCTGATTTACGCGCGTCTGCCTTTTTGGCCACTCTCTCTCTCAAAGCTGTTATTACGCTCGGTCGTACTCAGGCCCTTGTTAAGCTTCGTAGTCAAATAAGTTAAGGGGCCAACTCGATGTGAACCTTGATAGCTTCGGCTATACTTCTTTAGTTAATCTTAGTTTTAGTTTAATTCTTAGGCTTTTAAGTTCAAGCCAAAGTGCGGGCTTTGCTTGTACACTCCCAGGCGGAGTTTTGTTAAATCTTATTGGAATAATAAAGGGTTAGTAACCCTTCTATCTTGTTTCTTTTCACCGAACTCAAGCGATTATTCGCTTATCAGTTCTTAGATTCTTCACTTCCAACATTAACTTAGAATTCTGAAGTGAGGAACTCTACAAGTCAAAAAGCCATAAAGTACATTCTTGACACTTTCGTTTCTTGAAACACTAAATGCTATTTTTATAAATTTTCTGTATCTATTAACTATATAGTTGAAAACGGTTTTAAATAGTCAAAATGCCATAAAGTACCTTCTAGCAGTGTTTAACATTATTGACACTTCCATTTCTTGAAAAACTAAATGCTATTATGCATTTTTTAAGATTTCTTAAAATTATGAATAATAATATTTATAAATAAAATCAACTTGATTTTTTTGTCAGTAAATACGTGACTAAATAAAAAACAATTTTTCCCCCTGTACTTATGTAAACTTTGTTATTTAACGAAATAATAACATTATTTAATGTATTTTGCATTTATTTATTGAAAATGATTCTAAACACGCACAGAAAATTATTTAAAAGACTATTATTCTGCTGTCTTAACTAAGATTTCTTTCCAGAAATCCCTAAAAATACTTGTTACATGCCCCCCCCCATGACAGAAAGTTTTGTACTTGAGTTCATATTATTGCAATATTCTGAACTATATTTTACGTTTCACACATTCTTAAATAAAATGAAATATTTTATATTTCAGGTCTAATTTAGAGTTTCGCGATAGCTGTTATCGAAACTTGTTGTGTAAATGGTCGTGGTTCAGCGAATATTGCACTTGTGTCTCAAATCCATGCTTAACTGAGTTCTGCCTTGGAGATAATGCTACGCACTGCGCTTGTTCGCCGGTTTTCTGCAAAGGCACATACCAGAGTTGCAAGGCTGATCATTCACTCCCAATGAATAAACGGAGATGTTTCTGTGCTAATGAAGATGCATATAAAGGCTGGAGGTCACGTCCTTTTCCAGATGATACTTGTAAGTATACAACTACCATGCTTAATATTTTTCCAATGCTTTGGTTCATTACTCGCTCACTCAGTATAAAAGCGAATATCAAAAGAAATAAATGTATAACTAAATTCAAAAATCGAACCAAGAAACACCTATGTGTAATGGACAACTTAAAATTTTCTGTCATTAACTTTAAGGTATTCTTTTAAATTTAAACTTATAATGAAATGACTAGCATTAATTTGTGAAGTCTTTCATTGTAGCAAATAATTTGTTATTGACTGATGTATTCGTTTGTAAGTCAACAAACCAGTGCCAGCCAAACAAAGTTTGATTTAAACTATTATATCTCAGTCTAACTAGCTAGGCTTGTAATCACACTTTCAGGAAATTATTAATAGCGATAATTTCTTTTAGATATGCTATTATGTTACAATTTTTCATTTGTTAATTTTCCATTATTGCGCCATGAAGACATGATTCCTTTCTCACCCGCCCACCAGCGGCCGAGCGGTAAAGTCGCTGAACACTGGTAGTTCGGTCCGAGGTTCGAATCCCACGAACGGGCTGGCTGCATGGGCGTTTTCGTGGTCCCCATGTGTAACGTGTATACGAGCCAGTTTCCCTTAGGAAGTCCTCCACGAAGGCATCCCCTCCTCTTAGGCAGATAGCCCTAGTGCGCTTTGCTTTAATTAAATATACCAATACCTTTCTGATCTATTGCGCCTGCGCTTCCAAATACTTAATTGTTGCGTTCTTATCATTTTCCTCTCCATACATTCCTTTTTAATTGACTACTTGATGCAAAGCAAACTTTACACAGTAACTGATTTATTAAAAATTAGATTACTACTTTTTAACACATTTGATCCGATATTTAGTTTAAGCCTCATAAAATTATGACAGGATTAGAACGGGAATTTAATTAATAATTAATCCTTTCTCTTAATACTTTATATTAATGATAAATTCAATTAATGAATATTTATTTTATGTTGTACATTAATAATGAAGTCTTTACCTCAAGTACGAATTTGATGATGCTCATTAATAATTTGAAGGCGGACTCCTTAAACACAGCAGAATGCTTTGAAACACTTTGATTTTGCTGACTTCTTCAGTCTACGTTGTAGAAACCACAACAAGCCGGAAAATAAAAGCAAACAATCTACGAAACGTAATCCAGAAAGATAACTGGCTACACAAGACCGTTTTTTTACACACATACACAAAAGCATAAATAATTTTCAAATTCAGATACCTATAAAATAATTCTGCCAATCATGCCACACACACGCATACGTCTTCCAAAGCGGTCCTTCTCTTACTCCACGACCAAGTCCGTTCTTTCTTCTTTGCCCCATGTTAGTTAGGGCATGTTAGTGGGCAATCTCTTCTTAGTCAAGTATGTCAAGGGTAATACTGAAGCGGAAAAATTAAGAATGTAATCACGGTAGTAACTGGCAGGTCCCAAAATACAGCGTATTTTTTTCTTGGTAATTGGTTTAGGCAATCTTATCCATAGTTTCCGTTTTTTAGGTCCGCTGAATGCTATTGAGAACCTATAATATGACAAAGAAATTTCCCTTCCCTTTTTTTTAATTTACAATGAGGCCTACTCTTCGTAAGGTTTTGAATACCGCTTTCACATGTTCTAAGTGCTGTTTCCAATCTTCGGAAAAATTTTACAAATGGTTAATATAGAGTGACAGTATTTTTTTTTTTTTTTTGTCTAATCTTAACACTTTATTCACTACTTTTTGAAATGCGCTTCCCGAATTTTCATTCCGAATGGTAACATTCTTCCTTGATAATGACCTAAGTATGTCACAAACTCTGTAAAATGCTTCTCTTCTTCTTTCATCGAAATCTGCAAATATATATTTGTCAAGTCTAACACGTTGATGCATTGTGCTTTCCAATATCGCAGAGTAATTCTGCAGCATGTTTCAATGGATATGCATTTGAAACTGTAAATTTATTTAACAACCTAAAATCAACACACAATTGTACATTCCCGTTTCTTTATCCTACGCCTGCAACAAGGTGAGCCCAATCGTTGTTGCTAGGATCTACTAATTCAGGCTGGAGTAACTCCTTAATTTGCCGATCAACTTCTTCTTTAAGTAGACTAGGGATTTGATGTGGGTGTAATGCTTTGGGGGTACATTCGGGAATAATTCTGACAGAATGCCCATCAACTTTCACACTAAATCTGCTGCTAAAAAATCTGCAAACTGGCATAAAATATTACCAAATTCTTGACGTTGTTGTTTATGCAGTCATCCGTAATAATTTTCGGTACTTCACTCTTTTACTTTTGGTCAGCGAGAACCTATTATATAGTATTTCCAAAGTAATCAACCTATTCAAAGATTAATTCTACCTGTTGCACTCTAGACACATATGGAAGTAATTTATTTTTATGAAACTCCTTTTAATTTTCATCTTCCAATCGAACTAAAACAAAATAGGTCTTAGTTAAGTATTTAGTAATTTATGTGATGATGATGAGGAAACAGATATTAACACTTGATCTCTACTTCGAGTGTTTCTTCACGTCACCTCAAATTATACCTACGAATGTGATCGCTCTGGTTTTTATTCGCGTTATCATACGTTATAGCGTGAGTACTTCGTAGCTTATCCCGCAAGTCATCTAAATACGATTCACTGGTATAAGAAGTATCAGTGGCTGCTATACCTCTCTTACCAGTTCAAAAGTTCGTAATCCATGTCAACAGTCCAGTCGATTGACGAAAGTACACCACTTGGTAAGGAGAAATACTAGCGGTGCTGGGGGGAACTTCACAGTTCGCGAACAACGAAAAGGAAGATGCGAATCCCAATCACGGTAACGGTCTTGAATGTTCCTATTCAGCATTTCTATACAACATTTCAGTGTTCTGTTCCATCGTTCTACTGCACCCACACTTCCGGGGTGACGCGGGGTAGAAAACGTCTGAAAAAACTTTCGTTCGCTGTGTGGGAAAATTAATCCCTTGTTCAGTACAGATAATTTTGAGAAAAGCTGTTTAGGGAAAAATGTTCATGTTATTCTCGCAAGTTGTTCTTGATTGTATATACATATTAAAATACGGGCAGAACAAATTTGCCAACCATGCCGCACGCGCATCTTTTCCAAAATTTTGTTCTTTCAGTGAAGTTTTGTTCGCGCCACTGTCCACCAGTTTGACGAAGTTTCGCTTTTCTTGGTGCGCTTTCGAAACTTATACCTTTTATTAGATACTTTGATTTCACAACAGTTTCTAAAGTGTTAGCTTTTTCCAATTGTATTTTTAATACATTTCTTTTATAGTAAACCGATTTTAGGAAAGTGAATTTGGGTTCAATTGTTAATATTAGATAATTTCATGTATTTTTACTAATTTTGTTTGCCTGACTGAAGTGCACTAAATGCTGTTATTGTTTGTAATACAAAAAATAATATGTATATTTTGAATACAGGGTCAATAAATTATACAACATTCAATATTAAGTGAAAGTGCAAACAGAATATTGCACAGCGGTCAACCGGAACAGGATTCAAGATTTTCTCTTTTTTTTTTTTTTTTCAAACTAAAAAGTACCAAATATACCTGCCGGTACTATCGAAAGTTTTTCACATTTTTTATTTTAAAGAAAAAAAAACAGTTATTGTGTTTCCTGGTTGTTTGCAAACCTCTTTCAGTCTGAACAGAAATCTAGTGCTGCGTAATGTAATCATGCTTTGTGATATGAAAGTAAAATTGCTGCAAAACAGATATAAATATATTTTGAATTTTGCACTGGTACTATGAGAATTAATCATAAAAGTGTTTATGTATTAGTGCATTGTTAAATGATTAACCACTAAAATGTTTTAGAAGTGTTAATTATCTTTGAGTATTATTACATCTTATTATATTGATATCTTACTTTTTTCATTAAATACTTCAAAGGAATCGTATTCGTGGTATTTATTGTATTCAGTTCGCTAATTTCCTGTCTTGGAAAAATAGGATAAAATTTTATTTCCTGTCTTGGAATGGAAAAATAGAATAAGATTTTAATTCCTGTCTTGGAAAAATAGGATTTTATTCCTCTTGGAAAAATAGGATAAAATTATTTCCTGTCTTGGAAAATAGGATAAAATTTTATTTCCTGTCTGGAAAAAATAGGAAAAATAAAATTTTTATTTCCTGTCTTGGAAAAATAGGATAAAATTTTATTTCCTTGTAGGATTAAAATTTATTTCCTGTCTTGGAAAAATAGGATAAAATTTATTTTGTAAAAATAGGATAAAAATTATGCTGGAAAAATAGGATAAAATTTTATTTCCTGTCTTGGAAAAAAATAGGATAAAATTTATTTCCTGTCTTGGAAAAATAGGATAAAATTTTATTTCCTGTCTTGGAAAAATAGGATAAAATTTTATTTCCTGTCTTGGAAAAATAGGATAAAATGTTTATTAAAAAAAAAAAGGAAAAATTTTATTTCCTGTCTTGGAAAAATAGGATAAAATTTTATTTCCTGTCTTGGAAAAATAGGATAAAATTTTATTTCCTGTCTTGGAAAAATAGGATAAAATTTTATTTCCTGTCTTGGAAAAATAGGATAAAATTTTATTTCCTGTCTTGGAAAAATAGGATAAAATTTTATTTCCTGTCTTGGAAAAATAGGATAAAATTTTATTTCCTGTCTTGGAAAAATAGGATAAAATTTTATTTCCTGTCTTGGAAAAATAGGATAAAATTTTATTTCCTGTCTTGGAAAAATAGGATAAATTTATTTCCTGTCTGGGAAAAATAGGAAAAAAATTTTTCTGTCCTGGAAAAATTTTTTATTTCCTGTCTTGGAAAAATAGGATAAATTTTTTTCCTGTCTTTTTATTTCCTGTCTGAAAAATACAAAAATTTAACATTTTATTTCATGTCTGAGAATGGAAAAATAGGATAACATTTTATTTCATGTCTGAGAATGGAAAAAATAGATAACATTTATTTCATGTCTGAGAAATGGAAAAAAATAGGATAAACATTTTTATTCATTCTGAGATGGAAATAGGTAAATTTTATTTCATGTCTGAAAATGGAAAAAAATAGGGATAACATTTTATTCATGTTCGAGAATGGAAAATAGGATAATAACATTTTATTTCATGGAGGAATGGAAAAAAATAGGATAACATTTTATTTCATGTCTGAGAATGGAAAAATAGGATAACATTTTATTTCATGTCTGAGAATGGAAAAATAGGATAACATTTTATTTCATGTCTGAGAATGGAAAAATAGGATAACATTTTATTTCCTCTATCTTTAATTTTGGGGGATTAATTTTTTATTAGCCTAAAGTAACTGTCTAGCTTAAAACTAGATTTGGACTTAAATCTGCATACCGAAGTCAGATTGCAGCTCCTTTCTAACCTTATGATTTTTATACTTTTTAATTTTAAATATATTTTTACTTTTTAGACATTTAATGATAAATTTTTCGAGATGTTTGAATTTAATCTGAAATTTTCGGACTCCATTTTATACTCTTTCTTTCTTTATTTATTAATATTTTAGTTCTTAAATCTTTTTTCTATTAGTAATAAGAGTAAGTGCAGCGAACGATCTTCTCAATCTTCTTTCTTTAAATACATTTTCTCATTTTTAAGCATACATTACTTATTTTTTCAGCTTACTTGGACGATATCAATGATACTGATGTGCGTAATGTAATAGAATTGATTAGAGGAGCGAAAACTGATGACCTTGCTGATATTGAAGAAGGTTTGCTCCCTACTCCAGATGATTTATTTGATTACGGTGTTAATTTTGACAGCTTAATTATCGCCTGCAGTTTTGAGCAACAGCCGTGTTACAGAGAGTAAGATGTTTACGAAATTATGTTACATTTAAATACATAAATGTATTTACATTTTCAGCTAAATTTATAGGATTTCTAGCTGAATCTAAAGATGCTTTGAAGGTATTACTTCTATTTGAAAACGCCTAGATCTGCACAATTTCTGTAAAATTTCTATCTTTACTCTATAGTAAGGACACTTGTAATCAGATAACTCAAAAATGAACTCATTTTCATCTGCTTTTTTGCGAGTTATAAAATTTTTTAAAAACTTATATCAAATAGCCATTGTTTTGTGTATGTAAATTAAATTATTAACAATAAGCTATTTGCTTTGCGTAAAATCTGATCAGTCAAAGATATTGCCTTTGTAACACACCTCTTTTCATCTGGAATCCTTTACCGAGATAAGATCATTCGAATCTCGAAATTCACAAATCTCACCTATCTTAAAAAAGGCTCGAACTTCGAAAACTGGAAACTTCTTGTTTTTTTCGCCATTCGGATCTTTTAAATCCTGTCCTAAAAATAGAAATTTCAAGAAGATTAGTTTATTTCCTGTCAGTAAAAGCTTTTATAAAAAGAGATTGTGATTGCTGCAATTTATATAGACCATCATCAGGTCTTGGCCGTCTTGAGTGCCACACTCTTAGTTTTATGAAGAGTATTAAACGTTTTATGTTCAGTTTTAGTCCTTGAAATACATGTCTTCCCATTCTACTTTCTTTGATTTCCAAATAGTCTTGAAAAACATTTAAAAAAAAACTGAACTATCACACTTTTATTTAACCATACTAAGAAACTGAAGCAAGTGATTTAGTTAGGCACTTCAGTTGCTCAGTTTCATTTGCATTGTTTCAATAAATATAGATATATTTTTGTAGAATTAAACGCAGAGTTTAATTCTACAAAAAATGATTTTTTTGAAAACGCCTAGATCCAAATTTGTTTTATTTTATACCTTTTAATACGAAGTAAAAGTTCATTGCTTCTTATCATACCTCATTCGTTCATTACTTCGTATTTAAATTCATAACTTTTTGGTACGATATAAAAGTTCATCTCATTCTTTTCCTTTTATTATTATTGCATAAAGGATTCCGGAAATTCGAGAGCATTTCAGGATCTGAATTTGAGGAAATTTAGGATTCTGTCAGTATCTTTAGCAATTCGAAAGTAAACTCAGTATACCAAATATTTGTGACCACAAGCGGCCGAGCGGTAAAGTCGCTGAACGCTGGTAGTTCGGTCCGAGGTTCGAATCCCGCGAATGGGCTGGCTGCAGAGGAGTTTTCGTAATTTTTTTTTTCCTGTGTAACGTGTATACGAGCCAGTTTCGAGCAGTTACGAGCCATTAGAAAGTCCTCCACGAAGGCATCCCTCCCCTTAGGCAGATAGCCCTAGTGTGCTTTGCCATAATTAAATACACCACCACCAAATATTAGTAAAAACAGAATAGTGCTGCTACATAGCGGAACCTTGAATTGTTTCAAAAATAAAATGTGAAAATATCTGCCAACTTTTATCTTTAACCTTCCAGCATGCGCGTATGCGCAAAATTTACGACAAATTTAGTTTTTAATGCACATTTTTCGATTATCGAAGCTGAGACGTCTGAAAGTAATTTCTATTCCTCCTTTCCCACATCATGGTATGTGCCAACAGGAAGTCATTTGAATTTTTTTTTAACTGGACTTTTGTGCTACGTGGCAGCTTTTTCAGAAAATTTACGACACGCGCGTGGTCGTGTTTTAAAATTCGGAAAATATTTCTTTTCTAAAATATCTTGTAATTTTGTGTCATTAATTGCCGTGTATTATTTTAATTTGAATACATTTGGCTCTGTAAATTTTATATCGGTTTTCATGGTAAAAAAGTATGTGCAACCAGCTGATTTTGCTCGGATTCTTCAAGAATTATCTGATGAAGAAAAAGAAGACAAGGAAACCTTTGGATGGGAGAACAATAGCGATTTCCATTCCTTATTTTCTTTTATTTCTATTTTTTAGAAATAAATAAAAACATTAAAGTTAGTTTAAAGTGCGTTTTTGTAACCAGTAAGAAGTAAATTTCCTTGTAGAAGTAAGTAATGCTAGACTTACTTTCTTTCCTACCAATGTATTTTCCTTTTTTATTTTCTATATTTGTCTTTGGCGAATATTAAAATTAGCTTCGATTTTAAAATATAATTATTAAATAATAAATTTAAAATTTTTCAATACTGAAAGGTACAATCATTTTTAATCCAGTAGAACAAGTAGATAATTATACTTATGACAATTATATGGGACGTCGATAATAACTTGAAATGCAAAGAAGAAACATTTAGTAGGCAGAATAAGTTTTTCTTCCCATAATACCTTATCTTCCAAAAGTTAAGCATGCAATGCAAAATGACAATTTTCGAAAGCGCAGGTTACTTTGAGTGGCTAAAAATCTCTACCGATAGATATGGCAGTATGCAAATATCGTTTGTTACAGTCATTAATGAATGACTGCTCGAATATATGCTAATTAAGGAGTGTTTGATGACGCCAGCATTGTGAAGGGTTTGAGGAGGTTCATTTAAACGCTGATACGAAGTGTTTATAACTTTCGTAAGAAACGTTTAGACGATATTTGTGCTTTTATGGTTGAAAGAAGGTAAATCTCACATAATGAGTGCTGGCAAACTGTAGGACGCATTGATGCAGACCAAAGATGTCGCTTTTTCTTTGGAGTTGATCATTCTGTAACTTCTCGACTGTGGAAACTATTCCAAACCATTCAAACAGCTATCTTTGGGGAAAAGGGCTTGACATGATAGACCAAGGATTACCACCACTACTGAAGATCAGTGCATTACTGTAGAAGGACCTCCACGACTGTTACATTCATGGTTGCAGCGTGGCTTGGTAACATAGTATCTTTCGGTACTGTGCGTCGAGGTCTTCACATAAAGGAATTGTAGACCCGAGTATCAAGCATTTGCATTCTACTAATAGTCCAGCCCAAAGAAGCAAGGTTACAGTTGTGTCATCAACATCTCAAACGGATTCTCTGATATTGGCGTAACGTTCTGTTCACGAATGAGTCCAGATTTTACCGGAACAAAATGATAAGCGTATAAGGCACTGGACAGTACGAGATAGAAACGGAACCAGGTCCAGAATATCGTCGATCATCACGCAGCTTTTTCATAAAAGACGAAGTTTTGTGCGAGCTTGTTCAAATTGAACCAACAATGCGATAACCTCTTAGTAAAATATATTTAGCCTTATTAAATTCAACGCTACTTTGTGGCAGTGGAAACAAATTTAAAATGTCTTGTTGAACTTCAATCAAAAAGAGCTTTCCTCTAACTGACGAGGAAATTAGCACCAGTCCTATTAGCACCACTGTTCTTGACCCGGTAGTGATACATGATCGAACCGACAACCTCAGTTTTAAATTTAGCAATCCAGTTCGGTTACCTCATTTCTGAAGGCAAATTAGGTCTTCAAGATGATAAATGAAGATCATTTCATTTAAATCAAAACTGTCTAACTATTTAATCTCACTTTTTGGATAGCATAGGAGAATCTCTTCCTAAATTACACATATAAAAACTAGAGCTACAAACTTACTTAAACCAATAACTATGAAAAGACCGGCTAAGGGCACAAACGGTGATAAACAGAACTAATTAAAGCTGCTATATAAAGAAATCTAAATTAAAAGCGGTAAAAGGAGCCATATAAGGAACATGTCTTAAAAATTTTGAAGAACGGTAAAAAAAAAAAAAAAAAAAAAAAAAAAAAAAAAAAAAAAAAAAAAAATGAAAGAACTTCAAAAAAAACATAAGTGAAGCGAACTGAATGGAATGAAAATTCTGATTATAATTAACTGAAAGCTATTTATGTGGGTTAAGTTTTATCTTATTTGTGTTATTTAATTTGTGAGGGAGAGGTCTCCTGATAGTGCACTAAATAAAAATATGCTAAACGGTATGTGCCGGTATTTTACATGTAAACCGCTAAAATTAATGGTGTGAATAATTCTCACTGGAGAACTAGCGGTGTAGCACCAGGTTGCCTGGGTCAGAGACCCTACCCCTCATTGAATAAGTAATTTCGAATGGTATCAGCAAATAACTAGCATAAGATTAATAAACTATGTACATATTTACAGAGATTCTTTTTGTTTCTCGAAGTATTTTGCTAAGCATATTAAGGCAAAAATAATCTTAAGAATAGGAAGGAGGTTAAATGATGAATCTAATTCACTAAAGTGTGCGAAAAATCAGAGACCTGAAATGCCATCTGGAAAAGCTGAGAAGGGGGGAATGAATAATCTATTTAAAGACCCTTTGTAACATGTAAACAAGCAATAAGGCCATATAGTGTAAGTCTCTTGTTGCACATGCCTTGGATAATGATGACTACGTTAAATATGTTATACTGCTGTTGTGAAACACTGCAAAATCTATGTATGTTATTTTTATGCACTTTTATTTTTTTCATTTATAAATGTATCTTTTTTTCAGTAAAATTTCCCATTGAAGTGACTTAGTTTATTTTAATTACGGCAGAGCTCTCAATGGCTCTGTGTAGTGAGAGGGATGTCTTCGTGGAGGACTTTCTAAGGGAAACTGGCTCATATAACGTTACTCAGGGGGAAAATCGGGAAAATGCCCATGCAGCCAGCTCGTCGCCGGAAATCGAATCCCGGACTGAACCACCAGTGTTCAGCTCGGCTGCTGGTGGGCCCTACTGAGATAGCATTCAATTTCGCATGGCTCGACTTAGGATGAATGTCATGTTAGCGGTGTACTGTGTGAATAATTCTTGTTTCTACAGAACCCCTCTTTTTGATGGAGGTCTTTTCTTAAGAAAACTCTGATTCTGCCTCTTTCCGATTTTTGCTACGCTTAATAACTGGCTGTGTTCTTTCTGCTTCATATAATACAAGTTGCTTTTCATCACTTTTAAGCTCAAATGCGTGAGAAATATGCTCCTTCACATAAAGTGCCATTTAAGGGGTTGTACTTCAGTAAGGGCAATTTTGATTGGAAAATGCTAGCGAATGAAAGAAGAAAAAAGTAGCTGACAAAGAAGAAAAGCAGCTGGCATGAATGTACTCAAGAATAGAAGGGCAACGATAGATTGCACCGCAATACTATTCGGATGCATCAGAAAGGATATCTAACTCCTAACACGATGGAAAACATTACGATTTTCTATCGAAAGGGTTTTTAACTATATGGAAACATGAAGAATGCATATCCAAGGACCAAGGAAGGGTACTCTTACGGGGCTCTTAAGCATGTAGCCTTTATCCCCACATCGTCAAAGAATTATCTTTATCTCCAAAAAGAGGGTTCCGCATAGAGGTAAATTCAGTGCCAAAATGTTAATTTAACAAAGCGAGTAACTGCCTTCCACAGTGAAAAAGGATGCATATGCTGTCTTTGGTAAAAGGAAAATTACTTTTGCTATTGGCTAGGCAATACTAAAACCGAACCTCTGAATACTAAGAAAAAACTGCTTGGTCCGATTAACAATAGATTGCCCAAAGAAGTCATTTTAACTGATTTTAATTTCAATTAGAAAAACAATTATGTATATAATGACACAATTTCTTAGAATTTTTTCACTTTTTGTACAACATATAAATGCGTTTATTAATAATTGTAGTTACCCCCTTCTTTCGTTTCCGGTATATAATTGTGTTGGAATTTTAAATGGAAATTTTAAATAATCAAATGACTCTTATTATTGAATTGAGTAAATTTCTTATATGACCAGTTTGGCTCTCTATTATAATAACAGTTTTCATTTCTTTTTTCGATTACTGTCACATAATAACATACAACAACATGATAAATGGTCGATTTGGGCGTATGCTTGATACGTTGCAGTTTCTCAGTAAGCTAAGGTAGTACTTGTGTTTCGAATCTCAGTGCACACGTTGTTCTGAAACTTGTCGAGCCATATACAAGCTGTGGAAGAAATATCACGACCGATAACTTTTCCACTAGCATGTCACTCGCGACAAAATTATTGGCCAAATAAACAACTCTAGTTGGTACTATTAGAGGAAACAAAGGAGAACTACCCAAATCAGCCTAACAAACGAAGGATAAAATGCCTCGTTTTTCCACTCTGCTATATAAATCAGAGAATTACAATATATAAATATTCTTACAATATATAAAATCAAACCAAATAAAACAGTAGCTGTTCTAAGTTCTACGCATAAATTTGTGAAAAATGATAAAAGTAATAAAAAAATGTTACCGGAATCTATTCAATTTTATAACAGCACAAAATTTGGAGTTGATATGACGGGTCAAATAGGCAGAAAATATACAGTAAAAGCTAGTTCTCGTAGATGGCCCTTCCAAATATTTTTCAATGTTTTAGGTTTAGTTGCTATAAATGCTTGGATCCTTTACAAAGAAACGACAGGAATACAAATACAACGAAAAGAGTTCTTGTTTCAATTAGCAGAACAGCTTTCCACCGAATACAGAGCTGCAAGACAGAAAAGTCATCAGAACATAAAGACTCACACGGATCAACTGCAACATCATCAAATGCAACCCATTCTAACAAACGCAAAATTTGTCAAGTACGATTTTACCACAACAAAAATAATATATGTGAAAATGTCATCAGAACATAAAGATCCACAAAGATCAACTGCAACATCACCAAATGCAACCCATTCTAACAAACACAAAATTTGTCAAGTACGATTTTGCCACAACAACGAAACAAATAATATATGTGAAAAATGTCAAAAGTATGTTTGCGGAAGATGTAACCATAAAAAGATTTCAACTTTCATTTGTGAAACATGTACAAATAATAATGCATCAATCTTTTTTCCAAGTGAAGTAATTTTTTATTGTTAATATTTACTAATAACTTATTATATAACTGTAAATAATATTAAAAAAATAAAAATTAATTTTAAAAACAAATTTCTTTACACATTAGTTATTCTTTCCCAATGCAGTCATTTTGACTGCTTTTTGGACAATATAGGTATATGCTAAGTTTCAGTCTTTCTAGTGTTAATTTAGTTTCCTGCTCTATCACGCAGGTGATTAGGTTAGATTATGGCTCAAACACAATGAGTTCATGGCCCTCTTGCCTAATGACAAATATTCATGCTGGGGATCATGAAAGTTTGGTCTACATAAATTTTCTTCAAATATACTGGGTCCCTTGATATGTCTGGGAACAGTTATCAGCGCTGCAATTTACCTCAATAACGTTGCAGATTCGTTACTCTTTTATAGCTGTTTTGTTCTTTAATAAAGGAGCTCACTTTCAATCAGAAGAATGCGCCTTGCCACCGTGCACGAACGATCTTATCGGTTTAAAGATATATTCGCTATTCAAACTACTTCCGTGTCCAGGTCAGTCTTCTGAATTTTCCGAACAGCATTAGCATCCCGCATCACTTCAAAACTTAAGAAATTCCGTGATCTACTCTAACAGAAATTATAACTGTCGTTATATTAACATGGGATAATACTTCTCAGGAACAATATCGACACCTTATTAAGGACACTCCTAGATGAATACTGTCTGTATTAAACTAAAAAGATGACCAATGCATTAGTATGAGGTGTCTGTTATATTTTGACCACTCAGATTACATGAAATAAATATAACCTACATTGAAAAATCATTTTGAAGAATATTTTCCTATGCGGTTGTATATTTAAAGCTTTCAGTGTAAAAACAAACCACAAACTACAAAAACTGGATTTTATTTTTTCTAGTGTAAAATTAAATCAGCTAAATGAATGTACAACGAAACAGCTTCTCATTTGCTTATTAATTCTTTATTCATAGCATCAAAACTTTTTCTGTATTACAGATATTATCTTAAAACAAAGAGTAGTAATTGTTTTTTATTCTCAAAACGTATCAGAAATGTATAAATGAATTTACATATACTTTTCTTTCAAAAATTTTGTCACCAGATCTGTAATACTTTTATTAAAACTAAATCATAATTATTTTTTTTTAAATTCTTAACGTTATTTTTCTGGTTGTGCAAGCCAACAATGAAACAACAATTTCTATTTAGTTAATTATAAAATATTTAAGAAGAAGTCTTTAAATAAGAAAGGAATATTCTGCCCTTGTGCCATTTTGTTATGCAGTTTGTTAAATATGTCTTATTTGATCTCAATATCTAAAGTTCTTTCATTTTTCTAGGATTGATATAAAGTTAAAACCTAGTACAAGACTATGCATTTTTATTCATCACGTAAAAATATATATGATAAATGTTGTAGCGTCATTAGGTTATTTTGAAGCAAGAGACATGAAAGATGAGCAATGACATCTCCTGGACTCGAACCTTGACCTCTCGAATACGCGCAGAGGGTGCTACTTTTATATCACGAAAACATGCTGAAAGAAGGGAGAAAATACATTATAATATATTGAAATATGCGAAATAAATATTTTAGCATTTCAGGAAATTTTTCTGCAAAATATAGCTTTGTAAAAGAATTCATTTTCTTCGACAGAAATTTTACTGTCCTCTACCATCCTAAATACGGAAGATGTTACATGTTCAATTTCTTAGGAAACGGTCAGGACTCAGGAGTGCCCATAGAGATTTTTAGCTACGGAAGCACAAGTGGTTAGTATAAATCTTATTATGTGGTAATATTCTTAAATTTTATTGCCTTTTTAAATGAGACATTTTAATACATTATATGTGACACACTAAAGCACTTTCTCTTATAAAAGTTTTAAAATCAGAAAAAGGTTGTTCTACATTGTTTGTGAATCTGGCAAATAAAAATACAGACTTTATGTTCAATGAAAGGACCTTTTATGATATTTGAGAAATCTTTGGAATGTACTGTGGACCTGGACCTGATTTGAAATTTTGAAGATTAACTCAAGATCCAAAATTTGGGTTTGGATTTTGAATTTTGGAATATTTTGCATCATAATTTTTGGAATAAATTCTCTTAAACGTAATATTAAAACTATAGGAAGATAATAAGAAAATTTCTGAAATTTGTGGGTTTATTTAATATTTGTGGAAATAGATATTCGTGAAATCTCTTAGAAAATCCTCTAAAATTATAGGGTTCTATGTTTATTAACTATTTATTTAATTATTTTACGCGTAAAGTCATTTTTACTTCAGTTGGTTTCCATCAGCATGCAAATTAGTTAATGTATGAACATAGTGCAACATGTACCATGTTAATATTATTGTAATATGTAACATGCTAATATTCTCCGCAATTGTATTCTTAGTAACTGTAAACTGCAAATGTGTGTAATATGTACCATGCAAATATACCCTATGTCTCAGTAATTGTGTGTAATATGTACCATGTCAATATTCACAGTACTATTTAATGTGTATAATATGTACCGTGCTAATTAATTAGTATGCACTATTTAATGTGTGTAATATGTACCAATGTGTGTAATATGTGCTATGCAAACTGTAAATAATAATTAATGCGTAAAGCCAACCTATGTGTTAACCTAAGCACCCAACTATACATACGTATAGTAAGAATTGAACCAAACAGGTGTAAAGTACCTTAAACATAAATATTGAATACCCTAAACAAAAGTATTAATCAATTTCCTCAGTAAATGTAAACTGCACTATGAAATGGGTATGATGTGTACCATGCAAGTATTAATTAAATTAATTAATAAGTAAATTCTTAGAAATGTAATCTGTATTATGTAATGCGTGAACTATGTACAATGCAAGTCTTCTCAGTAAATATAAGCTATACTATGTAATGTGTATAATATGCACCATGCAAACCTGTAAACAATAATGAATGCGTAGTTTTAAATTATGTGTTAACCTAAATACCTAAGATGTAAAGTACCTTTAACATAAGTATTAACCAATCTCTCTGTGTGTAATATGTACCATGCAAGTCTGTAAATAATAATGAATGCATAGAGGTAACCTAAGTATCTAATCATGTATAATTAACGTAAATATTGAACCTTACGGATGCAAAGAACCTTAAACATAAATCATATTCAGTTTCCCAGTAAATGTAATGTGTGAAATATGTACCATGCAATATGAATGTAAATGCACCATGCAAGTATGAATAAGCAAGTCCGAATATGGTACGGCATGTGTAATATGTCGTACCATATTCGGACTGAGTAATGCAAGTCAGAGTATGGCAATATATACCATGCAAGTCTGAATGGGTAGCGATAACCTAAGCACCTAATTATGTCATTCTAGATAAGGGCGGACGTGGTGCTCATACCAATTAACCGTAACGGTAGAAGGATGGTGCCCACGTCCTCCGTCACTCACTCACTCACTCTGTTGAACACACAAGCAATGGAGCCTTTTGTTACTGCACGAGCTTAAATTGTTAGACTGCAAATGTAATAAAAAGGTTAACCTATGTCGACTTTATGTTTGTTTCTTTATTGAAGGATTTTGATGGAGCGATGTATTGTCTGGCTGTTTTTACACAGCCAGAATTTAATGCTTTAGGTGCTTAGTTATCACACAAAATTCTCCGAAAATAATCTAAAAAACTTCCGCCTTTAGAAACTTAGTATTCTTTGTTTACTTAAGCCCTGTTCTTTTGGACTGACTGCATGTAAAGCGTCGGCAAGTTTTATCTGTTATTAACCAACTAAAATAAAAACACAACTTCGATGGTAACTAAACAATGCTACTGTTGCTGACTGTTGAAACTCAGCACTGTTGCCACTTGGAAAAAAGAGGGCGATAATTCTGGGCAGTTTTTTAATTTAATGTTTCTCTTGGATACTGGACATTTGTTGAGAGAAGGCAACGGGAAAGTTGATTAATTTATTTATTAGGATAATTAGTATTTGTATTAAGGGATATTGCTTATTTCATTGTAATTTTTGTAATTTTGTTATATGTAATACTTTTTTTTTTAAATTTGTGGGTTTTTAGACCAAAGGGGCTTTGTCCCTGAGGGACTATTGTTTTCGTTTTGCGATTTTGCGTTGGTTCACTATAAATGTCTGTTTCACTTTTTAAACTGTTGCCACCAAATGAGTCCTGCATTATATTTGAAGAAATTAAATAATGAAAAATCTGCATAAATGTATGTCTATTTCTCGCATTGTGATAAAACAACGGTACATAGAGCCATCGAATTTTGAATGACGTAATCCTCCTACGAATATGGGCATGTGGAAGCCCAAATTTGGAATTTGTTTTATTACCGATTTCATTTTTTGTAAACTTTAACGAATTTTTGATTAACAAACTTGAGGATTTAAAAGCGAGCAAGGGCAACGTTGTACAGGAAAAACATTTTTATCTCCAGCGCGTAAGACTCTGTATCGGAAATTCTAAAGATATGCTCAATTTAAAACTATTTTGCGATATCATTCTTGAACTGAATTTCATGTTTTAATTGCTAAGAACGTGATATTTAATAAATAAAGGTAATAGACAAAATGTTAAAAAAACACCCCTTTGGACGTAATTTAAAATCTGAAACTTTCAGATTTTTTAAATTAGTTTATTATTATTTTTTATGAAGTTTTTCTGCAGAGTAAAATTCTAGGCAGTTTTAAAATTTAACATTTGGCCCTTCAGGTATTTTTCCGGTACATTTAAAAGCCAGATGAAGATTGACTGCTAGTAATCAAATAATTTGAAGAGTGATAATTTGTCAAGTATTTAGCACTTAGGTGAATTTTTTATTCTAAATCACAGAACTTAGAGAAACATTCTTCAGCCATAAACTACAAATTTACTTGTATCTCACTTTACACTTCAAATACTTGCATTTTATGTGCACAGATAGGTACGATTCTCGCATATATTTCGTTGGAAAAGTCTGGTTGGTTTCACGCTCTTACTCAAATTCAAGTCGTTGTATTTAATAACCTGTGTGGGGAAAAATAATGATTTTGTTTTAAAATTGTTGTAGGTTTGCATTTGACTTTACATATAACAAGTCAACAAAAAGTGGACCTCTTAAGCGAAGAGATTGGAGCACGAGTGGTTATTCACGATCCGTATGATCTTCCGTTTGTGGCTGAGCATGGTTTCAATGTGAGACCTCACGATATGTCAGCAGTGGAAGTTACTTTGTCCAGGATTGAAAGACTAGGACCACCTTGGGGATCATGCGTGCAGGATGGCAGCTATCTAGACTTTAAACAGAATGTCAAGCCATACTCTATACTAGTAAGTAAGAAAGATATTTCTGAAAATATTCCATTCAAAGTTTAAGAATGAAAAGCCAAAAGAAAATGATTACGTATGATTTTTGCACAAAATTTCGCTCTCATCCCGCTAGCGCAGCACCCCCAGAATGATTCAAAATTCTTTTGTGATAGCATAATCGAAGATAAAGAGTCGTTAAAATAAAATACATGTGTAAAAAGACTTTTCAAATTTAGATAAATATATTGAAATTTAAAAAAAAATAGCTGTTTTAACATTTTTGCCCAGACGTGACTGAAAGTAAAATAGTGAGTTGGTGAGTTGATTAACAGTGATGGATTTAAAATGAGCATTAAAAAAAAAAAAAAAAAAAAAAAAAAAAAAAAAAAAAAAAAAAAAAAAAAAAAAAAAAATTGGATATAATTGCTCAATATATTTTGGCCAATGGCGAACTTGCAGCCTAAAAGAGATTGATCCGATGATTTCATTCTTTCCAGAGAAAATCATCGCCGTATTTCGAATTCTACATTACGAGATAAGTGATTTAGAATTTTAAATAAAATTAAATATAATAAATTTGGAAAGGAAAGGATGTCAAAATTAAAAGTAACTGTTATAAAATTAAAATACACCTTACAGAGAAATGACTCGAACTTTAATTGGATTAGGAATTAAAATACCTTGCAGTATAAAATTCGCGAATTCGTGCAAGAATTAGTATACGTTTACCATCGCCATGTCCAAATAACAAACGTTGCTTGAGACGAAGTAATAATGCTTTTAGTAATGATAGTTTTACTGTGAATTTAAACTGTTTTCTAAACAATTTGCTTTTTCAGGGCTGTCAAAAGGCGTGCCGTCATTTTTACATGACGAAATATTGTGGATGCACGTTAAGGCACTTCTTAAGAGGAGCTGTGCTTCTAAAAAGTACGACGAGTTTCGCTTTTTGCAGTGTCACAAATCATACACAGAGTAATATTTTTTTTTAATTTTAGTGATATCAATAAACATCTTTATTAATTATTTCATATACATGTACTTTATTAAAATGTCTCAAACCTTTTATACATTTTCTCCCCTTAGATTTGTGCATGAAGGATGTCATCAAACGTATTCAAGGAAAAAGCATTTTTTGCAATTGTAAACCTTCATGCAGGTAAGCCAAGTATTTGAAGTAATAATATTAAGAAAAAATACTTATAAAGCTATTAAATCATTTTTTGGAAGGTTATAAAGAGCGAATTATCTTCTATTGCATCTGTTTCAGGTTTTCAGGTGCAATAGAAACTTTCACAGTTATATTAAAAATTTTAGTGAAACTCCAGTATGAGGATATACGAAAATCTAACTCTCTATTGAGAAAAAGTACCCCTTTTCAGAAAGTTCACGGAAAGATCATGTCACATACATAAATTTGCAGTACTTGAATTTATTTATTAGAAGGCTTTGACGAACTTTCTCTCCAGGCACACACACAGAGAGGCACCAGGTTTTTTTATCGAAAGGTCAGCAAGTGTTGTTCTTGCGTTATCCGTACACACTGTAATATACTGATTATGCACTTCATACTCTTCCTCTCTCTGCGAGCAAAGAATTAATTATGTTTATTAGTCTATTCCTTAACTATTTAATTCTTAGGAATTTTCTTAAGTAGGTTGCTGTACTTGACTGAGATTGCTTGAGGTGAAAATTGTGATCAGTTAACATTCGAGAAAAAGTGTTCACCGTTAGGTTAGGTTAATCTATGGATTTGAGCTGTGACGTGGAAAAGTTTAAAATACTGGATAATAATTTTTGAATACTGGGAAACTTTAAAATCTTCTACCTTGTGCGGCATTGTTCCACCAATCTTGCCATCTAGAATTCATTTCCTCTGACAGGGAATGTTTTAGAGAAGATTTTGACCATCAAATTTCGATATATATATGGTACATTGGCATTATTTGTAGCTACTTCTGCTGCTGAGTCTGCCACTTCATTGTCAGTGTAAGTTTTTATAGGTGTTTCAGATTAAGTATTTGTATCAGTATATATTGACATAATTGTGTTTTCTCTGATGCTGGATTTTTGATGAATATTTCCTAGAGCCTTATCTGATAATTTTCTGTCTGTATGGATGAAGATATTTTGTACAAAGGGCGTTTGGGCGAAAAAGCTTAGCTTTCATTGATCAGCAACAGATCCATAACGTGCCGCTATCGTCTTATTTGCCAGATTTTTTATTCTCTGATCCCGTTGTCTCATATCAACATGGTTAACTGAGTCAACGTATTCAGACTAAGATAATCCCGGATCAACGTTTTTAAGCTGCCCAAAACGAAACGACAAACAATCTATGACAGATACAGAAAAATATATTTTGTCAATGATATCAGAAGTATCAAGAATTGGAACAAATGTTGGGTTTTAAAGAATGTTACTTCACAAGTGACTTTGCAGAGTAATCTTTCACATTTTAAATAGCATTAACAATTATCTACTAGCATTTTCCGCGAGTTTTTACATCGAACGGTTATATGTTTTGATATCATAAACTCGTATATGTTATGATATCATCATGCAGTTATTTTTTTCAAAAGATTTTATGAATATTAACTTTTAGCAGTACATCTCTAATTACGTTTTTTAACTTGTAGGGTTTATATTTATTTTAATAACATTTATTTTAAGTTTAAACTATCTTTCCTGTTAAGCCTTACTTTCCCCTGGAAGTGCCAATGCCGGAGTATGTAAATTTTAGTAGAACGCGCAAAGTATTCAAAATTGTCAGCGGAAGTAATCTGAGTTAAATAGAAGGGAAACGAGTTCGAAAGTGTGCTTTCTTACTTCACGAGCGTGGAGGTGGCTAGGTAGAAATTGAAGAACCACGCGTTCGGCCTGTGTGCTTGCCTCAGTAGATAGTTAGTAAATCTTTCAACGTAGTATTCAGAAGTTTGCTGAATTGTCAGCGGTATCTTAGAACGTGGTTAGGTTAGTTACATTTTTAGAGAGCCTCGTAGGTAGTCACTTGTTATTATTTCATTTTTAGTTTCTTATTTTTATTTTACCGCCAGGTCGGCGTAGTTTGTGAGCGTCAAGAGCACGCATCTGTAATTTCTAAAGTTGAATATAAAGGGATTTAAACCCTTCTCAAGACTTTCCAGTTCATAGCAGTCACCACTATTGTTGCGTGCAGGTTGGAAGCGCGCAACATTACAAACTGCATACTTTAGACGAAAAACTAGTACGGCTGACTTTAGGAAGAGTCGAAGACAGATTTCCAGTCTTGAGTTCTAACGCTTTCTTATGAAATAATTTGTTTTATAGTTATTTTACAAGTTAAGCATAAAATATGGCCCACCGGCGGCTGAACGGTAAAAGCAGCTGGTTCGTTCCAGGGTTCTAGTGCCAGGGAATGGGCTCTGTATGGACGTTTTCGTAGTTTTTCTCGTGTGTAACGTGGATATGAGCCAGTGTCTCTTAAAAAGTCCTTCATGGGGCATCCTTCCCTTTGCAGTTCTTAGCAAATTTATAAGGCTGCCATTTTGTATTGCTGCTCCACAGCAAGTTTATGCAATCATACGAGTTCATATCAAGCTTATATCATGGTCATTACTTTGCACTCCTTTCGCAATTGTACCTTGTTTTCTTCTTTGCATGCAAATTTTATTGTTCATGAATTTTTGAGAGAGATAGATAACTTATTGTTCTTCACATATGGGCAGAAACCCATATTTCTCAAAAAATCTAAGTGAAATCCTATGAATTTTCAGAATGAGAGAGAGACTCTACAACGTATTCGCAAGTAGGATGCAGCCTAAAGTAAGGGATTTTTGGTCTTCTGTTATGTCTTCTATTCTCTTAGAAATTCTAATTTATTAATAAATTAAAATTTCTAAGCTCCAAAAATCTAAGCGTCACCAGTCTTTTGCAAATGCGCCAAATTTCGAGAGGCTGTCTCTCAATTCTACTGTGTTTCTTAAAACTTGTCAATAAAACTTCATACACTGAAATATAATAATTGCATACATAAATAAAAATGAAATACACACAGAGGTATACTACAACTTGAAGTACACACATTTGCATCAAAGCATAGTCCAAAGCAGGCATAAATTATAGTATGTCCGTGTTGAAGATATTAATATTTTCATTTATTTGCAGCTGCAAATATACTTGATAAAATATTCAATGTGAGCTGACTTAACGTTTAAGCAAATACTTTCACAAGCATCGGAAGTTGAAGTTCAAGTAAAAAAAGAACGTATTATTAAAGTATTTTGATCAGAGAATGCTTTGATAAGAATATTAAGTTTTTTATGGAAACTATTTTGATCAGTGTAAATTATTTGTCTTCAGTTTTCAATGATATTAGCAAGTATACACTTTTGCAGATATTAGAGCTGTAGTGTCTCCGTAAAATAATGCAATGTGTATTTAATAATAGCAGCTGCGACATAATTATAATTTGTTTCATCTGATATATGCTATTTCAAAATTTCTACGACTGGGACATACTTCCTGAGTCTAGTCACAAATTGACAACTCTACAATTCTTATTTTAGTTTTACTTGGAACGATAAGATGTCTTATATGCACGAGAAAATTTCACAGCTCTCGCAGGAAATTTTGGAATGTTCAAAATACAGTAGATATTTATTTTAAAGAAATTGCACCAGGCTCAGGTCATATGGAGTTATCAACATTTTTTACGTAAATGATGCTGCAGATGTTAATAAAAATTAGCATAGAATATATAAAAATTTATAAACGCTTAAAATAATTATTTAGGTACAGTATTAAAGCAATTTAAACAGATGACCATCAACAGAGTTGGTCACCGGTTACCTACATTTTGATAGTCAGTTATAGTCACAAAGAGCTCACCGGTGTAGAGTGGTGTCCAAAATGTAGATGGTATGTTATATACAATTAAACCCCACTATACTAGACTTGTCAAAGCTGCGATGACCTAAAGCCTGGGGATCATGTAATGACAACCAAGGTCCTTTACCAATGTAGAGGTGAATAGGACTATTCGCCGTGGCCATTTCGCATTCGGACCGTTTCGTCGTCGGAACGTTTCTCCGTCAAGACATATTTTTCTTTACACAACTATATTATATCTTCCGTATTATATTAAGCTGATTTAAATTAATAATTAGTTTAATAATTTAATTTAATTAACATTTTATATAAAATAATATATAAAATGGTTTGTGTACAGTTTTATACAAATACACCGTTATACATGACATATTAATTTTAAGAAAATAATGCGTTGATAAAATTCCAAAGTCATTCCATTTTACATTCATATTTCATAAAACTGTGAATTTCCTGCTGGTATGAGTGATTTATCTGAACTAGGCGATTAAAATTTCAAGAAATGTTGGCGAATCATGTAAATATTATACCCACATAATTTTAAAATCGATAATATAACTTCTATTATCAGGAATTTAGCTCCCTTGTAAATACTTATATACATTACAAACAATCTTTATTAAGTATACAAAAGGTAAACAGAATTATTAAACTAAATAAATTTAATACGAGTATAATACGGAAAGATACATTACATTCATGTAACGAAAAATATCTTTTGACGGCGAAACGTCCCGACGGCGAAACGGCTACGGCGAAAGTTCTACGGTGAAGTGGCGGCGGCGAAAAGTCCTAGACTCATGTAGAGTGGCAGAGTAAATTTACGTAAATATTTTAATTTAAATTAAATCCAAGTACACCGATGCCTGTCAAGGCTGTCACCTACGCGTTGATGGTCACTTTTAATCAGCCCATAGGTCATTGGTATGTTGTGGCGCAATAAATTTAGATGGATCTTTAAATTAAAATTACGTCGAAAGATGCGATACCTTTCAAGAATATTGCAATCTGAGGTCACTTAGCCCAAAAGCTAGTGATGTAAAGCAGTGATTTAGATAAATAAATATAGGTAGATTTCCAAATGAAAATGAAACAAGGCCTTTTTGTCATCAGTAACCTACAGGATGAGAGTCACAAAAGGTCAACTCATGTATATCACCAGTTTAGAGCTGTGGAGTAAGTTTGAGTAATTTTTTAAAATAAAATTAAGTTGAAGGAAACCAATACCTGTCAAAACAATTAATAGTAATTAATTAAAGTAATCAGATTAAATTATCGGAATAACATTAAAGTCTAACATCTAAAATAGTAATAACATTAAATTACACAGTAGTAATAACATTAAATTATTTTACATCTAAAATAGTAATAACTTTATTCAGTTAATAGTATTAACATTAAAGTCATCGTTAATCACTAGTAAGTGACCTATGGATTTATTAACGATGACTTCAATTTCGGTTATTAAAGACTTAGTTACTGATAGTAAATTCAGAAGATCACTGGATCATACCGATTAGCATCAAACCCAAATCACTGGGGAGCATTCAAGGCCATTCGTCAATGACCTAGGAATTCTTAGTCTCCAATATTAGCCAGTGCAATGTTGTTGCGGTGCAACACTTGCAAATCAGGTCAATGATAAGCAATTGATATTGTAACGTGACATATCATAACGCTCCAAAAATTTTAGAAAGTCTCTATTAAGGATGTTTTTAAAATCAAAATTTGGGATTATTATGCTTCTTTTATAGATGGTAGACATAAACATCTTCCCTTATGTCGATTAATAAAAGATACTATATTTTATATTATTTATCATTACACAAATATTTATATAGCTTATTTAGCATTAATTAAATATTCTAAGTGTTTTAAGTTCACGTTGCTATCAGTAATGGGAATATTTTAAACCAGAGTTTCTTAAACTGTAGATAGTGTCTGCAGCAGGGGATCGCCAAAAATGTTAGCAGTTTTGAGATTTCTTTAACTTATTATAATAATTTTACAATTCCCAAATATTTTTACACAATGTGTCTGAAAATAGATAAAGATAAGACAATATAGATAGAGAAAAAAGAAAACGTTTCGACGCATTCTTTTTATAATATAAACGTTCATTTTACTTGCTTTTGCACGTGACGCTGTCATTTCGTCTGTTACTTGTTTAACATTTTGTTTATTGTTACTTGTTTGTTACTTGTTTGATCAGAAAGGTGGTTTTTTTTAATTATCTTTTAATATTGCATTAACTCTCTCTTTCAGCGAACTGAAATACAGTACTAAAGTGTCTTCAAGTAAACTGAATGAAAATTTCTATCGAACAGTTAAATCTATACGGACGCTTTCCAATTGTAATGAAGGAGAAATCAAGATGATTAATGCTTCAGATCGGTAAGAATCTCCTATATTATTATGTTTGTGACGTATTTTGACAAAATGTTTAATTTTTAATCCCTTTAATCCAGTACTTTCAGTCAGTTACTTTCTGATTTTTTTTTTTTTTCTTTTTATGTTGTTGAGTTATTATTATGATTAAGCAGTTATTTATAGTTTCAACCTTTACTATCACTTCTCCGTTTCCTCCATAGAAATAGGAATCAGTTAAAAGGTATTTAAGTCGAGGGTTTTCGGATTGCAACACGAAGCGCGTTTCTGCCTCTCGAAGCCATGTTAATATTAGATTTCATCAGCTCTGATAAGATATTGTTACGAAATGTACAGGCGCGGTAGGATGGCTTCCCCGCAAAGCGGTTTTAGGGTTGCCATAAAATGGCAAAGGGAAGGCGGGGTTGCCACATTTGGAGAGAAATCGCCCATTTGGCGACAAAATTGGCGATATGCCATGGACGGATGGAGAACCTTCTGGAACGAATTCTTACCAGTTTAGCTAAGAATGTTCTCGAACACAAGCCGCAAGTTATATAAACCCTGCTGGTACGCGGTGTGTGCCTCGAGAGTGCGAGATAGTATCGAGTTGGTATCTCGTCTAGCGAGTCAATCCCTGCGGAGTCGATCGAGTTGACAGCCGGGCAGCGAGTGTCGAGTGGGTGGTCGAGTTGACCGAAGGAGTCTATTAGTGCATCGTCGAGAGAGCGTGTTAAGTTCCGAGAACGACTGAACCGAAGAGTCGGGAGCTGTGCTCTGTGTGTTGTCGAGTAATCGCGAGCTGTAGCGTGGAGAGTTTCGAGAGTACGTAGAGTTGTTGGAACTTTTCATAGTATAGAGGGCGCTGTTGCGCTGAAAGAATTCCACTGTGTGTCTACATTATGTAACTGTAGGTTCGCCGTTGCAATGTCTCTGTATTGCTGTGATATATTTTGGTGCTTTCATTAAATAGAAACGAAAGATATCGTCATGTATTTTTGTATACCAAATCAAGATCAAAATTAGACTGATGCAAACTCGTCGAAACAAAAATAGCGTTCAAACAGAAATCGTCAAGTTATACTCACCTTTCGAACTACGCATTTGTATCGTTAATCGCTTCGTAATAAGAGTTCCGAGAACGACCAAGCAGAGTCAGGAGCTGCACTCTAGTGCTTTGCCGTGAAGCTGTCTCCACTGTGATAGCCTGATAACCGGGAGGCTGTGTCGCTGATCGTATCAGCGTGTTTATAGTAGTTCATGGACGACTGTAAAAACGTGTTTTGGAGCTGTCCTGACAATACTGGCCAACAAAAGTGTGTTTCGATACTTCATCAAGTGTCGTCGTTATTCACTCCAAATCCACACGAACCCCGTACGAACGTGAAAGAAAGAAAATAACGTAACAACTGGTGTCAGAAGTAAAAAAACGCAACAATATTAATTATTCGGGTTTGCGTTATTGCTGCCAACACTGAACTGATACGACGGTGACAAGTAATGAGACAGCTTAGTTTTAAATTAAATTGAGTAGTCTTTGACGACTAGTTTAAGGTTAAATGGAATTTGATTTTTGCTTTACGTCTCATAGCCACAAGTGGTGATTGTTTGTTAAGCACAAGACGAGATTTTATGTCAAAGTTATAATTTAATTAAAAAAGTATTTCAACCTTTTGAAGTCCTTTCCGTTAACGTCAGACCAAACGATAATTTTGAAAGTAGTTTTTGCTAAAACAAATCAAACTCTATAATGTGATGCATATAGCTACTTGATTTCAATTCTGGACAAATCTCTGGACGTGCTTATTTATTTCGTAAGTATATTATCGAAAGTCTAAATACTATATCTATCCGAGACTAGATTCATAGATCAGTTTGCTATATTGATTAAGATTTAAAGGACTTACTTAAAATATATTAAATAAATTATTCGACAAAACAAAAGAATTGTTAGTGAAATTTTTATAAATAATTTGTTAATGAGCTATTTTTTCACCAGTTATAGAATTCAGTTATCTATAATCGATAAAAGAAGTTATTCGAAAGCGTTTCCGTCTGAATTATTAAACTCTCGTAAGACTGCCAGGCGAGTTATTGCCCGTTTATGTAAACAACAGCTGAGTCTTGAGGACGTTTAAACAACATTTTTTATTTAAAACCAAACAAATATATCAGTCACAAATTAAATGCCCTCAGCTGGAGTGCAGTGAAAAAAGAAGAGGAAATTTAAAACAAGGAGATGCTACAGACTACAGTGCGAATAGCTTAACAAGCTTTGGCGAAAATTAATAAGTGAGCAACTGATTTCGGCTAGCAAATGGCTCATACCCGATAAATTAGTTCGCAGACTTGAGCGAGAGTGAAGTACTATGGACAGTATATTCCCTGTCAAAAGTTTTTATTCTAAATTTTCAAAAACTCTATCTTAAATACTTGTAACTCAATTATATTATGGTGAGAGCTTACGAAAAGAAGTGACAGTACAGCTCTAGATCATAAGAAAATGGGTGAAACGTAAAACATATCTTACAAACTTAAAACCGACAGCACGTTACAAGCTTTATCTCACCAATGAAAAAGATAAATTTTCTATTCATATTGCATTGGGTTTCGATGTGCGTGACACAATCTGAAAAGTAATGCTATGATATTAAAGTTTTTTTTATAACCAGATGTTTAAAAGTTGAAATCATAATGTTATAAAGCAATAAAAAATATAACTGGAAGTATATCTGGAAAACGTGCCTTTATTAATATTACTGAATGTGATACAAAGAAAAAAACAGCAATCATTTTAATTAAATTTACTTGAAACATGTCGAGTGCCGTGCGGGATGCTCAATTTGCATTACGACACAAGAATGGATGAGATTTTTTAATCAATATAATTATTTTAAAATATTGCTACTTTCCATAGCATTATTCCTTTCAATCAGTTTAACCTGCCTTCGTAGAATTTTTGTAATACATGCATTTGAAATGTATAGCTGAATGTTGATTTTATTAATATTGTTACGAATTTGGTATTTAAAAAGCTAATGTTAGTTCAATTATAAATTAAATGGTTTTATTTCTCGCGCAGTGCCGCGCGTGACGAATATTAAAAGAAAGCTAAGCCGAAAAAATTAAAAATACAAGAGCGCGTGCGTTAAATAAATAAATATCTCTTTTTGATTTCGAGAAAGTACTGGAAAATTCTAGCGCGTGATTTTTAAAATCTTATAGAAGGAGGAAAACATCTCAGTTTGTGAGTAGTTGCTTAGTTTGTTGTTGTTTAGAAAACTGCTCCTGTTGATTGTAGCGAATTCGCGGATTAGCGTTCTTTAGCTGTTTTGAATTACGTTCTATTGGATATTTGAGTAGTTAAAAGATAACTACTGTGAGATATTGTAATACTGCATGATAATTTGAGAAATTTAAGCATTTTTGTTGTGATAGTAATAAATTTTTGTTCATTTTTCATCGGACTTGTGCATTCATTTCATAACGAACCCGTACGCACGCAACAATTTTTGGTGTCAGAAGTGGGATTTGAATGCCAATAACAAGAGCGATGGAAGAACAATTTAGGCAAATTAATGACTGCATTTGCTGCTTTCCAAGAAAAGATGGAAGGGGCCGTCAACTCCGTTAAGAGAAATGAAATGAAAGGAAGAAATGAAATGGGCCAGGAATCCGTTAAGGAAGATATGAAATTAGGCCAAGATTCCGTTAAAGGAGAGATGAGATCCGTTAAAAAGGAAATGGAAGCCGTTCACGAAAAGTTGGAAGCTGGTCAAGTAACTCTTAAAGAAGTCATAAAAGCTGTACAAGAAAAGATTGAAGCAGGTCAAGTCGAAATGAAAAGAGAAATAACCTGCGTAATAGAAAGTAAATTTGAGGCTATGGAAGACAGAATAGGAGCTGACGAAAATAAAGTCGGGCAAATTGAAGAAAAGGTTTCTTCTGTCAAAGATGAAATAGAAGATAGAGTGTCGGCTGTGGAGCAACGAGTCGAAGGAAGAGTTTCGGCCTTCCAACAACAAATTGAAGAAAGAGTTTCTGCCGTCGAACAACAAATTGATGATAGGGTTTCTGCTGCCGTCGCCAAAGAAGTTGACAGCTTTAAAGAAGTGCATAGCGACGGTAAGGAAACAATTCTGAAGGGTTTCAAATTTTCATCCGATGCCTGCTCGTTCCGTTCTGAGAAACTATCTACATATGATGGGAAGACCTCCTGGCAAGGTGTATAAGACACAATTTTCTATCGTTGCGGATGCGAATGGATGGGATTCCCAAGCTAAGGCCTGTCATCTCGCCGTTTCTCTTAAGAGCAGACGCAGCGGATATCCTGCAGACGCTTCCCGAAAATCAAAAGGCTAGATTTTCGAAGCTCTATCCGGCGCTTTGGAGCTGCGCTTCGGCGAGAAATGTTTAAAAGACTACAGCAGGCTCCAATTAAAATCTCGTCAACAGAAGCTCACCGAAACGCTTCAGGAGCTCGCCACGGATGTTGAAAGGCTGTCACATCACGCCTTTTCGGAGTGTCCTGACAGAAACAAGGGAAATCCTGTCCCTGCAATATTTCATCGACGGGCATCCGGGACCCTGAAATACAGAAAGCACTGCGAATGGCGGATGTAAAAGGACTTGAAAAAGCACTCTGTTGTACGCCATGAAGTTCGAGGCAGCCGTCAGCAAGCAACTCTTAGGGATCGCTACCCAGTTAGAGCTGTGCGAGTCCATGAGCCAGTGGATCAACTTGATGGCTCGTTTAGATGATTTAGCCAGACAAGTCGAAGCTTTGATACGAAGTAGGAGCGAGAAGAAAGTGGCTCCAAGGTGTTGGAGATGTGGTAGTGAAGGTCACTTAAGACGGAATTGCAGAACGCCCCAGGAATAATAATAAAACGAATGAAAAATAAAATAAAACTGAAACAGAAAATAAAACAGATGATTTACCAGACAAGTCAGTGGCTTGAGACGGAACAGAAGTGAAAAGAAACTAGTTCTAAAGTGCTGGAACTGCGGAGTTGAAGGCCACATAC